CTCTTTCCAGTATATATTCCCTATCAATACAGCAATAAGGGGAAATTAACTCTGAATTAATTGGCTACAAACAAATGCAGCAATTCAGTAAGTCAGGACATAGAAATATAATAAACTATAAACATCTTAATGTCAACAAATTCATGCACAATTAACCTTAGACAGATAGTGCTTATAAATGCACAGATGTTCCAGGACAAGATAAAGCCATTGGGTTATTTCCCTCATCTGGTTCTCTACACAGGTGAATGAAGCCAGGAATGACAACTGCCTAACCCAGTTCTCCTTCCCAGATAATTAACCCTACATTATTAATCCCTAATTCTCACTGAGTTGGTCAAGCAATCTGTTGAAAAGGATGGCAAAACATGTACAATCAGGGTGCACCTACAATAATGTAGTAGGTCTAAGTGATTGCTCTGAAAGAATATTAATTTTTTTTGCAACAGATCTTTGCAACATCTTGCAAGCACTGAACTGTGTGTTTACTTAAGAATCAACTCACAAGTGGCACAGGATAAAGACAGGCTGTACGAGAACTGCTTCTACAGGCATATTTGCATGAAAGCAAAATGATTTCTCTCAGTTCTCAGAAACATGCTACTAATTACCCACTTCACATATGTCTCTGTTTCATCTTGGTTTCTTGGCAAAGTTTATGGATTACTGAACGAGCTGTATTTCTGAGCAAGTATTTTCAATGCACCAGGTATCTTAGCCTGACCATAGGCCACATGGTATGGTAGAGGAATTGTAGAGCTCTGGTCCTCTCTGAGCAAGTAACATCCCAGTTTCAGACAACTGGTACCCTACATTGGCTATATATGTAAAAGCAAGCAGATTAAAAAGTCACAACAGGGTATAAAAGGCTGACTGAGAACAAGACCATGGAGAGCTCCTGTCCCATCCTTGGAACAGCACACACCATGCTTTCCTAACTGCATCTGTGACATGATACAAAGTTCTAGCATATGGGCTGCCAAGTTAATTCACCCCATACATTTCAGTTCATAAATCTGCCAAGAAATGTATCTACAAGAATGTACCAAGCCCATGAAGCTAATTTCACTTGTGCCACAAACCAGACATGAGAAGAACCAGACAACATGGCCAAGGGCTGCGTTCCTACCAAAGACGTGGACGTGTAAGATGTCTGGGGACATTCTTAAATTAATGCCTTCTGACATGGAATTCTTTCTGAGAAATAACTCATCACATTCAGAAAAACCAAACAAAATTTGTATATAACACAGCACTTTTCACCCAAGAATCTCCTGACAGTTAAAAGAGAGAGAAGGATAATACTGTTTTGTAGAAGCCATAAAAATTCTAGATTGAACAAAAATGTTTCTCTTGATTCTAGTTTCACAGTCAATATTATCAGAGTGGTAAGTAACAAGTCTCAGGGTTCTGCATGGTCAGCATCTCACTGGTTGTCTCACTTGTAAAAAACTATTATTTGTAATATGTTGGTAACATAAGCATAACATATTTGCAAGAGTTCAGTGTCCCACACTACCATCTACTGTAGAATTTCAGTCTTTGTTACAATTAGGAGGTCACACAAAAGACAGTCAGCTCTGCTGAGAAGTACATACATCAGCTTTTCCTAGTGTGTAGAGTGTCTCCAAAATCTTGTGATGTAGCAGATATTCCATACATGGTCCTGTTTCCCCTGATTCCCGCTCATTTTCTTCTTGAACTAGAATATCCAACATCTGTTCCAGGTGAGAGGGAATGTTGGTATCAGTCACAGGAGCTTTGTCATCTAAATAGAAGACGTGCAATTAAGAGTTATTAAAATATTGTCCACATTTTTTGTTAAGTTCAGTTCCAAATTTAAGATTTAAAAACATGAACACCCATGTAAATAATCTTATAGATACGACAGAAGGTTTTTAACATGTCTCAAATTAAGTTTTCAGAATCCTATCTTGAAATGTAAACTTGAACATACATTAGGCAGATATCTAATCTTGCAATGGGGAAAAGGTTGCTAAATTTCAAAACACGCATTAATTATACAGTCAAAAAGGAAAACTTTTACAGCCAGAAACTAAGCTTAGGGAGAGTAAGGTTCATCTCTCAATCTTTCAGTTAGTATCCACCCCATCTTGATAACTTCCTCTTTGACTCTTCACATAGTACTCTGAAATCTATGAACAGCCTCCAAGATCAGCTTAATTTGCAGCTGATCAGTTCCTTTACAAACTAGATAACTAAACAAATGATTTTTCTAATGATAACAACAAAAAAGATCCAAACTCTATGCTGTTTACTCTTCAAAAGTGTTTAGATGTCTTTTATACTTTCTCCATTAAGATATCATTCTGTCAAACTTCATGAAGGAAAGGGTAAGGCTCCAATTTCATCATACTAAAGTCAGGAGACTGTTCTGGATTCATGCCACTAGCAGTGAGAGCTGGTATTAACGTGTTGTAGAGAAAATCCACACATGGCTAAACTCTACTTGAACAAATATCCCACTAGGCAAATGGTTACTACTTCTTATGCAATAATCTAAAAATGACTGTCACTTGCATGCAGATGGCAACAAGATCACAAAGGAGAACTGCCATATCAGAGTGACTTTGATGTCTACCACAAACTCCAGTTAGCCTAGAGTGTTTTGCTTGAATTTCCTAGACATAATGGTGCTCCCACTACAGAGGACAGAAATATACCTACTGAGTGAGAATTTGTTTTCCACAATACTTTTGAGAGTCTAGGAGAGAGGTCAGCTTTTATTCTGCACCACATAAATGTAGGTATCAGTTTTCTCCTATCACCCTGTCATTTCTACCTTAGGAAATTTCACATAGCGTTCCAAAAGATGAATATTGAGAACCAAGGGTCAAGTTTCAGCTTGGAGGAGTAAATATTGATATAAACAAGATCACCAGTCCCAGACACAAACACAAATACCTACTCTACCAGAAGTGGAGAACTAACAAGTATGAGGAAAGCATAGTAACATTCACTTTTAAAACTTAGTAGTTTAATAACTACTAAGGGCCAAACATTAAAAATTTAAATGTTGCATAACTGCTGTAGGAAAACAGGGAAAGTTTAAGTAAAAGCATCTACAGCTGTAATTCATCAGAATACCATTTTTTTCAGAAGAGCAGAATAAGGTCTGGGTAAGTTCTAACAAAAGATGTTCTAAATCTGCTCTCAAATGCACTTTTCAGAGCTATGATATCAAAATATCATTCATGTAGACAAGACACTAAAGAAAAAATACCTAATACTGAGCACATAGAGTTCAGATACGCGTGGTAAAATCTATGACCACAAGAATACTTTCATTAAAACCTTGGAAAGAAAAGGAAAACCCCTGATGCAAAACAATAAAGCTGCTAATGGTGGGGACTACATTTCTCTAGTTGTCTGTTCAGATTAAACAGAGTATTTGAAGACAGAAATTGGGTCAGATGTGAAAATGTACCCTTCTCTACATGGTATCAGGAAAGAAGACCTTCCTTGATCATTTTTCATGCCCACTTTTTAAAGGCATGAATGAAGGTACACAATATTTTAAATTAATTATTATTATTGTTGGTATTTTGATAAAAGACATGACATTAGTATTTCTTAATCTTTATTTTTAAAAACACTGAAATTAGGAATTCTAGTTTTTACAAGAAAGAGACAAAACCAGAATGTTTTCTTCATTTACCTGATGTCTCTATGTAATAATGAGTGATTGCCTTCCAGTGGTAAACAAAATCTTCTTGTAATGGAAGGGAAGGTGCCAGCTATAAGGAAAACAAAAAAACAAACAAAAAACTGTTAGGAATTAAATAAACTTATTTCCTTGGAGATTAAATTGAATTTTATCTTATACTTGGAAGCAAACTGCTGTGCACTAGTGCTACAATTCTTACTCTGTGCTCTTTTACCTTTAACAAAGATCTCATACATCATTCATGGCATGAGCCCCATGTCATACTGCCTTGTGAACATCAATAATAATCTCTGTGATGTCTCTCTGACCAGACAATCTATTTGAAGCAACAAAAGCAATTGTTCATCCTACTAAAGCAACACTAGAAACATAGGTTTGAATTGTTTGAGAGCTTTGTCCTGAAGAAAAAAAACACATTCCTCTTACATCTGCTCTTGATGCCATCTTGCTTTTCAGTACACCCTGTTCTCTCTCCCTCTGCTCTCTTAAATACTGATTAGCTGTATTTTGAAATGTTTTTATTTCCAGTTAACCACAACTTTAAGATCTTTGTTTCTTTTTTTTCTTTTTTTTTTTGCATATCAGGCCTATCCCCAGAGCTTGACAGGGTGTTCTTTTATTTTTTAACAAGTAACATTTCTAATTTCATTTCTGAAAGAAAATAAGTTTCTTCTTTTCTGGAGGAATTTGGAATGCCCAGTTGGGCATGACTGACATCCAGGAATAACATACTGCAAGACAAAACACAGGCTCCCACCCTGTCAACATCAGTACTGCTCCTTCCTCACCAGCCTCCGGCTCAGGACACCACAGGCACAAACAACTGCCACTCCACAGGCAGCATGTGAAAAAAAGAGGAACCACAATCATTTTATCACTGTGCTCTCCAAAGTGAGAGTTGAGACAAACACTGGATTTGTGATCACAGTATAAAATGTCCAGAGTTGGTAAAATCAGAAATCCTTTGGGGAAAGTCTCCCACCACTCAACAGATCACATACAGGTCTGTTGTTACTGAAGCCTGGTCCTACTTGCTTGAGGCATTTTTTATTATTTATTTTTTTTTACAATAAAGCCCTCAAGTAATTATTTTATAGGCAATCCTAAATAAAGGATTATCATTGGACATGATGGTAGCAATGAGCACTCTGGCTGAGGAAAAGTAGAGAGGCCATTTCTGAAGAATACCAGGCCTTTCAGACCACTCTTTTTCCAAAGTAACACATGATAGATAATGTTAAAGATTTAACCTTGACTGAAGTGATTTCCTCCTCACTTCTTCTAGCCTCATCTGCCTCCAGATGAACGTAGTGCCTCTGAGCAGTGCCAGGAAAAGGATTTCACTTCTCAGCACTGTCAGTAATTTATCCACCACAGGACAAAACTGTGGATACAGACATTCTCCCTCCCAACAAATGCCTCCAGGGACTCCTCTCAGAAGTGAAAAGGTAATTCAGGGACAAGTTCTGCCCTCTTAAATTAAAATACTTGGTGATTTCATAGAGTCTTCTCTGATCAAGGACAGCAAGACAGAGATGCAGGTGAACCTAGTATAAATTTGCAGATATTCCAGGGAACACTTAACAGAGATGTAACTCCAGCAATGCAAGGCATTTTTCTGAGAGAAATGTTTTCCTGACAAAAAATTAAAAAAATAATTAAAAAAACCTTTTTGCTTAATTATTCAGACACAAAATCAAGGTAAAGACTAAGACATCATCTTATACACAAACAAAGCCTGACACTGGAAAGCATTAGAAAAATGTAAACTCCCAAACACTTGGTTGACATGCTTTAACCCTACCAGGAGAGACAGTGCTAGGATGAAGTTGTAGTTTCTATTTTAGGATGAATTATTAGGTAACAGCTGAGATGAAATATATATTACACTTGCCAATCTGAATAATCACGCTTTTGTAAAAGTACACATACGTTTATAAAGATTCTGAAGCAAAATAAAATTCATTGTGAAGGCCATTAATTCCAGTAATTTTTTAATTTGAAGGATTTACCTTAAAAGTACACTTATTTCTCACAGTTATATTGATTTTTTTTTTATGTAATTACATAAGTTCTTACTATTTTTGAGCTATAAATTCCTAATCTCAAAATGAAGTTCTCTTTCTTTGGGGAAAAAAAAACCCAACATCTTAAAGACTACAGTGTAGGTGTTGGTGTATCAAGTAGCCAAAACTCACTGAACACTACTAAAAACCAACCCAGTGAGCAGACATTGATTAGTTCTTCCATCTAGTCCCCAGCTCCAGCAGTCAAGCTTCCTGGGAGTGAATGAGTGAGTGTTCTCATTTAGGAGCTAAACTTAATGCATGCTGCCTTATTCTGGTGACAATACGTCACTAATGATTGAACCCCACTCCTTCCAGGAAAAGTACTGTTCTCAGGAGAACTATAGATCTTTGACCAGAATTATAGTCAGCTTGTTGCAAAATCTGTCCAAAATACAATGCCACATAGTTTTCAAGGGTATATAAAATTTTTGTTTAGGCAGGAAAAAAACCAAAACATCAACACCAAAGTAAGCTATAAATATTCAGTATTAAACAGCAATTCCTTTGTGAATTTAAAAATCATTGTTGCGTTTTTCAAGTACACTTCTCAGAAGAGCAATTCAATACTGAAAAGCACAGAAACAACCAAATCTGGGGATATCCTGCAACATCTTTTGGACAAGTTCACAAAGTAAAGAAAACGCTATATGAAAGAACAACAGGTACCATCTGGTCAGAAACAGAAAGTGGAAACTGTGCCAAAGAGAGACAAAGGGGAAGTGCATGCACACTCCCTGACTGAAACAAGGCAAACTATAGCAGTCACTCCTCTTCCATCTCACTACTTCACTACTGTAAAGGTTTGCCCCAAGGGAAAACCTGAAAAAGGACAAATGCTGGAAGGTTTCCTTTATTTCTTCAGTTGGTGAATGAATGGAGTTTATAGTGGCAACTGCTTTCAAGTATAGAATTAAGATTGCACATGCTTGCAAGCTATGTGTTAAATTTTATCATCATTGTATGTTAATAGCAGCACAATATTAAAACAATCGGTGATGTGAAGCCATTACATCAAATAAAGCAGGTTCAAGAAGAATAAATCTTCTGAGCAGTTACGCAGTTAATGATTTTAGATCAGAACCTGTAGCAAGTGACTCAGTTTCTCTCAAAGTTCAGTTTTGCCTCAAACCATAAACAGATAACAAGTTAATTAAGAGCATGTTAAGGTACCAGTATAAGAGATGCAGTGGAATAGGTTGGTAGAGAGATCCCAAAAATGTGCAGCAGACACTAAAATCTAAATTCACTCCCAGATACCAAGAGAGTGACACTAAGAAACAGAAAATTGCAAAATTCAAAACCGAAATAATATTTTTCCAGCTTAAGGTACACAGCTCAAAACAGTCATCTTGAGTTCACTTTTAAGATGAAATGCCTCCTGAAAGCCCAAATCAAACACAAACAAAAGCCCTTTCTTTGAGCACCGAGTGACCAATATACAGACACACTATTTTGTCTAGGGAAACATGAGTAAAGAGCACAAGATAAGAGGAATAGTCAGTCTAACTTGCTGCTTTGTTACTGTACACCACGTTCTGTATGTTGCTGAAAATGCAGCACTCATGGAGTACCTTTGGGATAAAAGTGTATCAGAAAAGCACAGCAAAGAGAAAACTTGGAGGGGACAAGCCATATATAAACTATCAGAGATTCATTAATATTAACACCAGAAAGCAACAACATTTCCCTTCCACCCTGAAGTAGGGGAAAAGAACAAAGACTGCAGTTCCCTCAGCCAGTCTCACTGACCCACCCAACCCAATTTAAGGATGTTGTGATGATACCACAGTGGTGCTTGCTCATCTGGATGCTGCAGAGAACCCCGGAAAGACCAAAAATATCTAACATACTGGCAGGACTGACATATGATAGAGGTGGTGAAAATTAAGATTCGGTTGCAATGAGAATCAGGATCATCATTTCACACACTTGGACAACTTCAGCAGAAAAGACTGAGAGTTTTGAGTTATTCAAGGTAAGAAAAAGCCTTAATAAAAAGCAATTGTCCCTTAATAAAAAGCAAAGTCCCTTATGTTTGCCTCGTCACAGTTCTGTCACAAAGGCAGTCAGTTAAAGAACCATACACTCACACCAAGTGAAAGGCAAATACTCCCATGTGTATTAGGCTGTCAACCTTTGGAACTCCTCATCATAGTTAAGAGAGATGGCATGCTCAGGGTGAGATAACAAAGGTTATCTAATAACAGAGAAACTCTTACTATTTAAGTGTATGTCTCCAAGTATGCAGGCCCATGGGCCCTGAGGCAGGACAGGAGCATTATCTAAGTGATGTGCAAGAGAAAAAACAGGGGAGAACAGCTATCCAAACAATTCTGATTTTAAGTAGTACCACCAATGAAAGCTAAGCTCAGTACCTCAATTGTATTTAAGTATTCAGCCCGCTGAAAACTGTTCTGCTGCAACTGAATTCCTCCGGGAGGCTGACACTCAAAACCTTTAAGAATTTACTTTATTAACCAGTTCTGTTGACAATATTTGGGGTCCGTAAGCTATACTTCCCCCTCAACAATAACAGCAAGTAAAAATGATGCTCCAAATTATCTAGGTTCTGAAAACACAAAGGCAGCATCAACATGGGCTTATCTAATATTTAGGACTTGACATCAGTTTTCCTTTTCAGAGTAGCAAAACTAAGTTTACAGTTCAAGAGAGAATGAAACAATGATCTAAAAGTCACAGCACCAAAACCAGTTAAGAGATTTCTACTTCTCACTTCAGTGTTTAAATCACTGGGTCAAACTTCTTAGCTAAAGTAAGAAACATTCTTAACACCCTCTTGCTTTTGTGATTCCATGTTTCACTCCTAGCTTCGTATTTGTCACAACCCTGTAAATGCAATTCAGAGCAGTGTTTATTATCAGAAGGTCCATCACAGTGGTGCTAGGAGGAGGCAATTCTAAAAGGGACACTAGTTGAGCAAGAACATAGAGCATGTTGTTTGATAGCAATTACTTGCAAAATGGTGCTACTGATCTGATTC